TTTTTAGGGATTTTTAATTACTAACTAGCTATATTAATATTAATTAAGGTGGTAATTTAAAAACATGCTATTTTACCTTTAAATATATATTTTATATAAATTTTATAATTATTAACTAGTTTTTTAAGTGTTAGCCTACTATAGCTTTATTTTTTTATAAAGTTAAGTATATAAGGGAGATATAAGCTATTAAAAAAATTATTTAACTTTATTACTTACTAAAAAAGCTTATAAATACTTAAAAGGTAGATTTTATAATTATTATAATTTATAAAAATTATAAAAATATTATAATACTAGCTAGTAACCCCTAGTTTTATACCTAAAGTAAGTATATTAATATTTAGCACTATTTTATTTAAAAAAAAAGGCTAAAAATATAATTAATATTTAGTTTATTTTTATTAAAAAATAAATAATAAATAGCCTTACTAAGCTACTAGGGCCTAAAGTATTTAAATACTTTAAAGCCTTACTAGGGATTTTTTTTAAACTTATATAAGTAGGTTTTTTAATAATTTTTATACTAAAATTAGCCTTTTTTATATTAAACTTATAATAACTCGCGTATTATAAAACTATATTTAATTATTTTTATTTTTAGCTTATTATTACTTTATTTTTATTTTTAGGGATTAACCCTGCGGCAAAAATAGTATAATATTATATTATTTTAAAACCTTATTTTAGTTTTATATAATACCCTAATTATAATATTAAAAATTAATATATTTTTAGCTTAATTTAATAAAATTTCTAGTGCTTTTTATATTTACCCATAGGAAATTTTATTTTTAAATATTAAAATATAGGTTTACTAGCGTGGCTAGCTTATTAACTACCTTAATTAAAATTTTTATTTAATATTTTTTTAGGTTTTAAAGTATAATTATATTATATGGCTAGCGGCCTTTAAAACCCTAGGGCTTTTTTAAATTAGGTAATTAAATAATATTATTAGCTTTTAGCACATGTAGGCTACTATAGTAATTTTATTTTTTAATAAAAAAAAATTATTATTTAGGATTATAATTCCTGCTATAATCCCGCTGGCCTACGCCTTAAAAACTTTATATTTAGGGCTTAATTATGCTTATTATAGTTACTAGGCTAATGCTATATTTTTTGGGAATTGCTATTCTCACGGTAACTTTGCCAATCTCACGGTAATTAGCGCCCCCTAGCCGCGCTTGCTACCGCCACTAGCCATATTTATACTAGCTTTATAGCCTACTACTTTATAGCTATAAATTAAACTTAATTAGTACTAATAACCCTATAGCCAAGCTTAATATTATAAAAATATTTTTAAACTTTATAAAGTTATAATTTATATAAAACAAGAGCTTAATATTATAAAGTTTAATTTTAATAAAATTTTATTTTTAGATTAGGTATTAAATACTAGTTTTATTTATTTATTTAATAATTTAAAAAATAAATCCCCTAACAAGCCCTTTATTAATAAATATAATTTTAAAATTAAAAATTAATATAATAAAATTTTAGAGCTTAAAAATAGCTTTAAAAAGGTTTTTAACTTTATAAAAAAAGTAAAGGCTTATTTTAAATTTTTTATAAAAATTAATAACTTTATGGTTTTTAAATAAAGCACTAGTAAGTACCTTAAATACTATAAAAAATTAATTTTATTAATTTTAAATGCTACCGTAAAGCAATGCCTATACTAAAAAAAAACTTTTTTTTAAGCTTATTTTACTTTTAAAGCCTTAAAGTGCTAGGTCCTACTAAATTAATTATTTATTTAAAGTTATTATTAGGCGCTAAACCTTAATTATAGTACTTAAAGTTATTTATAGCTTTTATAATTATAAGTAAATTAAGGACTTTTTTATTCTTAACTAGCATAAAAAGTATATTAAGGCCTATAAAAAAAAATTTAGCTTTATATTTAGTAAAGCTAGCTACTATTTTTAATATATTATAAATTATTTAAAATATATAAAGGAGCCTTGCCCTTTAAAAATTAAAATTTTTTATAATTTTTAAAATAAGTTTTAATATTAATTTTTAAATAATAAAATATTAACTAAAGTACTTATTAACTAGCTACCTTAATAAAAGGGCAGCTTTATAAAGTATAAAATAAACTTTAAAAAAAAGCTAACTTGCGTATTTCTAGCCTATTTAACCTTAATTAAGTAACTTAAATAAAACCTCTTTATAATTATTATTAACTATACTTATAAAATAAACTAGTACCTTTTACCTTTTTATATAATTATTAAAGTTACTACGTGTAATAAAACCTTTATTATTATATATAGCTTTATAAAAAATAAAACCAAGCTATTATATACCTAAATATTATAATAATTTTATAATTTTTATATATAAAAAGGCCTTAAAATACCCGGGGTTATTATTATTAATAAAAATAAAGCTTTTATTAAGGCGCTTAGTATTATTTTTTTTATAATTAATTAAATTTTTTATATTTAATATATTAACTAAAAAATCCTTAGCTAAGCAAAGCAGGCTATATTAATTATACTTTAGGATACCCTTAATTTAAATAATAAAAAATAAAGTTAAAGGGTTAATAAGTAGTAAATTATAATATTATAATTATAGTTTTAAGCTATATAATCTTTAATAAAAACTTTTTTTAAAAGCTAATAAAGGGCCTTTAAAAAAATATATAAGTAGCTTATATATAAAAATTTTTTATAATATATTAAAAAAAAATAGCTTTAAAAAAATACTAAAAAATTCTTCCTGGCTTATTATACTAATACTTATTTATATTTTAGCTAGCTATTAACCTTTTAAATAAAGTTATTTTATTATTAATTAAAAAAATTTAAAGTTATCCTAAAGCAAGCTAATTTATATAATAACTTTTATTAATAATATTATTAAGGCTTAAAATATAAAGGCTTAATATTAATATATTAATAATATTTTAAGGCCTTTACCTTAATATAAGTATTAACTTTTTAAAAATATTATTATAAAGGTTTTTATATATACCATGTAAAAGGTAATTAAAATAATAAATTTTTATTTATTAAAGTGCCTTAATAAATTAATTAAGTATTATATAAGTACTTATAAGTAAAGCCTTAAACTCCCCTATATTTATTAAATTTAAAAAATACTTTATAATAACTAAAGCCTTGCCCTTAAAAAGTTTTATAATTAATAGCTTTTAATTTTAAAATCTTAACTTTTTATATATTTTTAACACCCTTATATTTATTTTTTGCTAAAAAAATAATAAAAGAAAAGGCCTTAAAAGGCTTTAAATTAATTAAAAAATTTTACTAAGCAAGATTTATTTAAGTTTAAATATATAAATTAACTAGTTAAAAAGGGGGGTAAGAAAAGTGTTAAAATTTTTTATTAAAGTAAGTGTTTGTAGTTAAGCGTAGCGCAGTAAAAAAAGTAAAAATAAGAATTTATATTTTAAATAATATATTTTTATTAGTTAGTATACACGGCCACCTAAAAGTTAAAACTTGCCTATATTTAGTTAAGTTTAAAATATTAATTTTTATATAAAAAATTAAAATTTAAAAATATTAATAATATTAATGCGCGCTAAGTTTTTTACCAGGCAAAATTAAAAGGCGGAGCCTAAATAAGCTTAGTAATAGCCTTTTTATATATTAATATAAATATAGCTAGCGGCCGCGCGAGCGCGGCCAAAGGGCGCTAATTACCATAAGAATAGGAAAGTTACCGTGAGAATAGCAATTCCCTATTTTTTAGGATATGTAGTATTATACTAGTACTAAATTTTTTAAAAAAAATTAATACTTAAAATATATATTTTAGTAAATTTAATATATTACTATGCTAGGTAATTTACCTTATACTAGGGATTAAGATTTCTAAATAAATTATTATATACTAGTTTATTATTACTAATTAATAATACCTTTTATATAAATTAGGCCTTATTCTTGCCTTTAAAATAACTTTTACATGTTTTAATATTTATTATTACTTTTTTAGTTATATAAAGGCTATATAATTTATAAAAAAGCTAGTAAATATACTAGCTAGCCCTTAAATTTATAAATTACTTAGCTTATTATTTATTATTTAATTTATTTTAGGCTACCTAGTGCCTAAAGTTTTTATTAAAAGTTTATTATTTTATATTTTTTATTATTATTTACTTATATTTTTAGGGACTACTTAGGCCTATTAATATTTAAAGCTTTTATTAATACTTATTATTTTTATTATTTTAATTACTAGCTTTTTAATACTTACTTATAAATTATATTTTTAGGAAAGCCTTTTCCTAATATTAATAATTTATAACTTATTAATTTAAAAAAAACTTTTTTTATACTAGCAGCCTACGGCTTACTAATTTAAAAAAGTTTTTAGTATAAATAAAAAAAAGTACTAAAAGTAAATACCTAAGGCCACCGGCGGCCTTAGGGCTTTAGTAAAAAAAGGTTTTTTTAGCTTAAATAGCCACCTATAAAACTCTTTATTTATCCCTAAAATATTTAGCTTAGTACACCAAGCAATACAAGAGACTTCTACATACAGTAACTATTCATTCCTTTTAGTAGAAAAGGGGGTCTGGTGGGCTGTGCAGACCGTCCTTGTGGAGCCTCGGATACAAGTAACGCATTCGTTTGGGATACGAGCGACGATACCTTTTTACCATCAGTAGCTAGCAGATGGTGATCATATAGACATGATATTTTTTAGGGAGGGGCTTTATAAGTAGGCTTTCGACCGGACGTGCTCTATCCGCTTGGAAGTTGCAGGCTTTTTGTTTGCTCAAGATGTCTTTACTTCTCTCCTGTGGATTATTTGCCTATCTATACGTATGCAGCTCGGTATTCTTCGATATAGTGCACTACCTCGCCCATCAATGGTCCACGTCCAAATACAGAGCCCTACGATGGCTTTCCCAGTGCCACAAATACCACCACCTCTACTATAACCACTCGTTGGCCTTCAACCCTAAATACCGGTGGCAGAATGCTTTCATTGCATTACCATTCGAGATGGTCTGCCTCCATACTGGAAGTATCCTGGGCTGGCTTTTCTTCCTCCTCCTCGCCCGCCAGACCTCGCTCGATTCTCAATCCGTTACTCCACTAAGTGTTATCCTTGCAATGCACATTATCCGGATGCTCGTCGTAATTTGCATGAGTGGCCGCGACTCAAACCATATTAGCTACAAAACCGTCCCGAAAGACACGTCCTGGCTCTTTGTGGGCCCCGAATTCCACGCCCTCCATCACGTCCACCCAGATCGGTACATGGGCTCCGTGGTGAAGTTCTTCGACTGGATAGCCGGAACCGCGTACTCCCTGCGCGGTAAGAACGTCGTTATCACTGGCGCTTCAGGGGCGTTCGGATCGGCGATTATACGCCGGTTACAGGCTGAGGGTGTTCGAGATATCACGGCGTTGAAATTCGGTACGCACTGGACGCATGACGACTTCAGCCGCGTTGGGAATGTCTTGAGTCAGGTCCAGCCGGATATCCTCATCCTGGCGCACGGCACTAAAGGCGAGGACGCAATGGGCGCCAACTGCAACGACACCATCCGCCTTATCCAGCTGTCCCTTTCCCATAAACAAAACGTCCGCCAGAAGAACGAGAACGCAAAGAAGACCCTCCCCGAGATCTGGTACGTCGGCAGCGAGATCGAACTCCACCCGGCCTTTGGAAATCCCGAAATGCAACGGTATCTCGCCTCGAAGCGGGCGTTCTTGCCGTATGCCCGGGCGCTGTATGACGATTCGCGCGTTGTATACCGGCATATTGTCCCTGCTGCGTTTCAGTCGCGAATGGGGAGGGCAATTGTGTCTGCGGACTGGGCTGCGGGTGTTATGATGTGGTGGATTCGCAGGGGGGCGAGATATGTGCCTGTTACGTATACGGGGATGGCGTACTTGAATTTTTTGAAGTTTTATTTCTGGGTTCGGCCGGAGTATAGCTGGGATAATGGGACTGGGAGCGGGATTATGGAAGTGCACTCATGATGAGTCTAGGTAGCATTAGAGAATGGATATCTATTTTCATGTTCAATATACCAGTCCTAAAGAGAACCCTGAGCATGAGCAATGCGTTGGCCACTAGGCCGGTAGGGACGATGTAAATACCATGGGTACCTAGGATACTATCTCGGGCCTCCTGGTAACTGTAGCAGTCTTTGATGAACCTAGTCAGGTTGGGTCTGTCCGCACGTAATTGAGTTGGAGCAGGAATGGCGAGTTAGCCCTAAGTGTCCCCGGTTATGGCAATGGCGATCGCAAGGTATCTGTACTAGTAAACTCAACAGCCTCGTAGTGCTGCTAGTGCTTCCTTCCCTTGGCCTAGTCCTTTCCTTCGCGTTCTTGAGTGCCATTGATGTCTTGTAGTTTTCGAAGGAGAAGCCCAAGCGATACCTTGAAATCAACGGGGTGTGTAGCATAGTGCGTTCAGGCAGAGTAACGTAGAATTCGAGCTTAACTCAGACCTATGAACGGTTACAGAGGGTTAGCAACGCAAAGCAATTGACTCAAATTGCTGTTATCAGCTTGAACTACTATGATGAGTCTGTACTAAAAGGCTGTAGGCGCCTTGGCCTCCAACCGCGGTGTCTAGCCTTGTAGATCTGTTGAACAAAGAGATCACAATTCCCCCTGGAGGTTGTAGCTCCAATTGCCAGGTATCATATTTATCATAAGGAGTTTTCAACCATTGGCAGTAAGCTCTCCGGGGGTCCAGCTGTCGATCAATCTCCCATAGGGTTTCGAGATAACTGAAGACGAGATGTTTTGAGTGTGATAGGTTGCTGGACCGGCAGGTGGGAGTTGCCGAGCTTAACTTGGTTATAGCACGTACCAGATATACGGGACAGGTATACCTAAGCTCAAGCCTGCAGCAAGCCAAGGCTCGTATTCTGTTCAGCGTGTTGTGTTGGTTGGCAGGGTAACTGGTTGAGTGTTGATGTTTCACTTATTATTGATCAACACACGTTACACCCGACATCTTCAAGGCTGGACACGCCAGTTGCAGTTCTCACAAAGAAACACACGTCTGCAGCTCCAAGGACAGCTTGAGGAGTGTTAATCAACACCAGCAGAGAACATGGCCATCGCCGCTCTTGTCGCCTTCTTTCTCTGTCTCCAGGGCCTTCGACTCGCTGCTGCACAGAGTCTGAACTCGATCGCATCGGCAATCGTACGTTACTGACACTTGAACCATCCCAATCCCGCTCCTTTTTCTGACTTCATCTAGAACAACCTTCCCGTCCTCTACGACACCTCCGACATTCGTCTCGTCAAAGCAAGCCACGGACTCGACTCCTTCTGGGCCTCCAGCTTCATCCGCACCACCGACAACCGCCGTTTCCTCGTGAGCGCCAATGTCATCATCCAGAATGGCGCCGCAATTCAACGCGCAGGAATCCTCTCGCTAGATGACCCTCTCTCGACCTTCCCCAGGAATTACCTTGGTCTTGTCCTCGCCGACGGAAGTGACGGCACCGCCGAGCTATTCAACATCACCACCCACGACGGCCGATTCAGCATGGAAACAATCTCCAACTCCAATTCCGCTGCCGAAGCATTCCCGTCAATGCGCATCTTCAGCGCCCTCCCGGACACAGAGTTCGACATCGACATCAACATGCACGGTCCCGCAATCCTCAACGCCGGGCTGGGCTCGTTCCAATGGGGCGGCGGTATCGAGCACCAGATCTCACTGCCCGCTGCTCGACCGAGCGGTACACTCGTCGTCGGAAATAAAACTCTGACTATCGACTCCAGAAACTCGCTTACCTGGTACGACCGCCAATGGGGACCGACGCTGCCAGACGGCTTCACCTGGTTCGGACTGTACGTGGCTGGGCCGGATAACTCGCAGTGTTACCTTTCCGTCTGGAACTGGCAGGATAGCATCGATGGGGACAAGGCCTTCGTGACGATTCAAAATAAGCGTGCCAGTGGGAATACTGTCATCCCTATTGCAGCTTTTGAAGCCTCGGATACACTTGTCTTCAACTCACCCGCTTCCGGTCGTGCATATCCGCTGCAGTATACCGTTACCCTGGGAGATGGAAAGAAGTTCCGTGTCAAGAGCTTTAGGCCTGATCAGGAGTATGTGATGGATGGGTCGACGTATGGCTTCTACTCCGGATACGTCGAGGTCGACGGCGACTACACGGGCTTTGGGGTGATTGATATTCCCTAATAACTGGCGTTTTCACCTTCAAATGTCCGGTAGACGACTAAGGAAGGTCAGTTGAGACGGTTGAAGACCGCAGATACGGAATCAAGTTGCAAGAAGAAGAAGAAATGGCCCTAGTGCCTCGCAGGTGGTTGATTTGTCCTCGAACTTAGCAGTATCTCGGCTCTCTAGTACCTATACCTAAGTATCCAGAGCCATCTAAGTCCTCACACTCGCCTCGTATTCGCTGCTAAACGGATAATCAACGTACCCCTCCGCCGAACTGCTCGCATAGAACGTCTCGCGCTGGTACCTGGTCAGGTTCACCCCTTCCTTCAGCTTAAACACCAGATCCGGGTTCGAGATGAAATGCCTCCCAAACATGACGACAATCTCCTTATCCGGGTACTGCTCATCAACGAGCTTCTGCGCCGTTTCAAGCCCATATCCCCCCGCAACCAGAATCGGCCCATCCCAGCGCTCGTACGCAAAGTCCAGTGTCTCATGATCCTCATCCACACTCCCCTCATAAACCCAAGCGCCGAAGATCCGCGATTCAACGAGATGCAGGTATGCAATGCCAAGATCCCTCGCTTTGTCGATGATATTCACATGTTGCGGAATCGGACATTCCATCCGCATCCCCTGGAACCGAGACCAGGGGCTCAGACGCAATCCCACACGCTCGGGCCCAATGGCCTTCGACACCTCGTGCATGACTTCACGCAGCAGTCGCGACCTATTCGCCACGCTCCCTCCATACTCGTCCTCGCGCTGGTTGGCCGTGTCCTGAAGAAACTGGTCGAGCAGATACCCATTCGCCGCGTGGATCTCCACGCCATCAAACCCCGCGGCTCTCGCATTCCGCGAAGCCGCCACAAAGTCAGCGACCGTCTGCTTGATCTCGGCAATGGTCATTTCCCTTGGCGTCGGCGCACCGGGCTTCTCGCCATGCGGGATCGGAATCGCGCTGGGGCCCACGATCTCGATCCCCTCGCTCCCTGCGACGTCACTATCAGCCGCCCGGCCCATGGCGAAGAGCTGCACGAAGATGAAGCTGCCCTTCTTGTGGACCGCGTCCGTGATTTCCTTCCATGCTGCGATCTGCTCGCCGCGCCAGATCCCGGGCGCACTGGGGAACCCGCCGCCCGCGGCTGCCGAAACCAGCGTGCCCTCTGTGATGAGCAGGGTTCCTGGGATGGAGGCTCGTTGCGCGTAGTACTCTTTCATCAGGGGCGTTGGGACCCGGTCGGCTGTTGCGCGGCGGCGGGTTAGAGGGGCCATGCCGATGCGGTGCTGGACCTCGATGGGGCCGATTTTGAGGGGCTTGAAGAGGCGGGAGTCTGTCATTGTGCTGGTGATTGTTTTATCTGTGAACTGGTGTTTGATGATCTTTGAAGATGATTGATGTTGATTGTGGCAGTAGACCGAAACCACTGTTTTTATACACCATCTCCTCTTAGCAGGGACAACGGGAGAATATCAGGCCTTCTGACAAATCTTAGGGCTGAGAGGTTCTTCCCTAATAGGAAATGAGGTTCTTCCTGATTCGGACTAGCCATTCGCTTCATTGCCCGGGCGCCGATTTCTAAGCAAAGTCGCCGAGCTGAAGCTCCTACGCTTGGCACACTCACTTCCAGTTACCAAGAAACACATCAGTCCATCTGCAAAGTGGTCTTGCCTGAAGAATGGCTGCTGATTTCCAGTTCATCTCGATCCAAGTCAACGATGACGCAAAGGACAGGGCGGCGCGGCGTCAGGCCCGCTCTCATGCTGTGAAGAAAGCCCTAGAAAAGAAGCGGAAACGTCAGCAGCTTGCCAGAAATAATTTTATCGTAACAACACTCGAGGACCGCGGGGGTTCCGTGGAGTTTGGATTGTCTCAGAGCGTCGCTCGCAAGGCGCCCATTTCTGGGCAAATATCGAATGGCCTGGATCCATTCGAGACCCTCGCAGTGGATTCATCGAGGTTGCAAATTCTACTGGCTGACTGTATGTCCCGCCTATACGTCCAATATACTAGGACTAATAAGCCACCAGACAGGGCGAGGCAAGCCCCCGAGCCGGTCTTCAGCATGGCCGAGGAACTCGCCTTCCAGAGTTTCCGCTCGGTCTTCAAGACTGGCTTTGATGATCCCGCCCTTGCCAACGCCGTGATGCTGTCCCTTTCCTTTGCAGTTACCGGTGGTAGCATTGATCAAGAGTGTCTGCGTTACCAGGGCCAAGCCATCACATATATCCGCGAACAGATGGATGCAGTTGATGAGGCTGCTTCGGAGGCGACCATCGGCGCTATACTGTTGATCGCTGGTGTGGCGGTATGTGAGCACGACCTTGAAGTCAGTCTATGGGCCTTATTTGCTAATGCGCGGTGGCCAGGCTCGTCTTGGCCTAAAGGCCCAGGTAGAGCTGCACATGAGTGCGGTGCATCAGCTCCTGAAGATCTGCCGGAGCAAGAGCATCTATCTCACGGCTGGAATCAAGCGAGCCATCTTCTGGTATGCCAGTATCACGCACTGCCTCGCGCTTGCTGAATCTGACCATATCACACCTAGGCAAGACCTGAACGCGTCCATCCTTGCAAACTCAAAACGCATAGTCGACCACGCAACCTTCGCCGAACTCCTCTGGGCCCGCGACCCCTTCGTCCCAAGCCACTATCATCTCCCGCTGGGGTTCAAGTCCCGAGCTTACATCCTTGGTGTGGAATTCTGTGCCGTGCTGCAGGATCTCCATGCTCTGCAGTGTATCCGCGACAGGCCTAGACCGGCCAGGACGGATGCCATGCAGATGCTCCATATCAACAACCATACTGCGTCGGTCCAGTCACGACTCGTTGCTCTGTCGGGATTAAGTCCGCTGCAGAAGTGCTGTCGTCTTGCGGCGTACTTGTGCTCTGTGACGCTGTGCTGTAAGGTGTGGTGTGAGCTGGTCATTCCGGTATGCCATGTCCATTCCTGAACCAAATCATACTAACGGTAGCCTCGCAGTCCCACATCTCATCCGAGCTCCTGCTTAACCTCCAACAGACCTGCGATTCCCTGGTCTGGAACGAGCATCCTGATTTGCTCCTCTGGCTGCTGTATGTTGGCGGCGCGTTTGCTCCTGTGGGGCCTGTCCGCTCCGGGTATCTAGACCTGCTGCGCCTGAAATCTGACGATGATTACTCGTCCTGGCCCAAGGTGCATGAGTGTATGAGGCGGTTCATCTGGTCAGATAACGCGTTCCTGGTGCCGGTTAGGGCGCTGTCGCGGGAGGTCTCGCAATATTGCTCTTTTGAAGAGGGGAGGACGTGCGTGGAAAGGAAGTAAGGCTGTTTTTTTAGGTGTTGCATGCTACCTAGGGAGTTCCGACAGCCAGCATAATGTTCCGGAAGATATATATGCTATCAGGGAAATATTGGCCGAATTGGCAAGACCGTTCAGGCCGAGAATTCCTCCTCTGACAGTTAACTAATCCTAACTTGTAGGAAGCCCCGGTGTTAGAGTAGTTGATTCTCTGCGTAAAAGCCCTGACCCAACTATAAAATCAAGTAGCTCAAGGGCCTGGTTTAGAAGGGTAAAAGACAGGCCTGTAGTTTTAGCACATATAATAGGATAGATTCACCTGTTACTGCTAAATATACATGCCACTGATTACACGTGGTAGCTCGCGGCAGAAAGGGTGACAAGCGGCAAATTGTCCTGAGGGCCCGTCGTGCCATCAATCTTATCCAATCTGCTTCGCGACTGCCACAGCAAAGGCGTTGTTTCTACTATGAGTGCAAAGTCACTATTCCCGTATCTGACTCGCTTGAAAGCTGGACACTCGCTCTCGAGGGCTCTGCCTTGCAGTTGTCGACGCGCCGCTCATTCTGCTCCTATCAAGCCAGCTTTCGCGCAGTCAAAACGACTCTTCCACCAAACAATTCCAATGAAACAGTCTTCAGGCTCGAAGGACCTCTTTCGCTACACCTCAGGTCGATGGCTTGTCGACGAAAAGGTCCAGCAGCAAGCGCGTTATGTGAAATTTAACCTGGATCAACTGTGTCGCCTAGCTGCTACACAGTTCAGCGACACAGCAAAGTGTACTCGCGTTGTCAAACTGGAAGGAAACTTCAACAAAGCACTGCTCCTGACCATGGACGATGGCAACGAGGTCATCGCAAAGCTCCCTTGTCCAAACGCCGGTCCACAGTCGCTGACCACTGCGTCTGAAGTTGCGACTCTGAAATTCCGTATGTGCTCACGCTGATAATTCGACCCAGATAGCTAACTTCCCTGATAGTGCAGTCGAGAACGTCTATTCGGGTGCCGAGGGTCTTTGCGTGGAGCTCAGATGCTGCAAATCCCGTAGGCGCGGAATTCATCATCATGGAGAAGATTGGCGGGGTCGCGTTGGCAGAGACGTGGGCGACAATGAGCACGTTGCAGCGCTACAAAGTAATCGATCAAGTCGTACAAGTTGAGAAAGAGCTTGCCGGTATAGCTTTTCCGGCATACGGCAGTCTTTTCCTTCGCGAGTCGTTGCCTGCTGCGATCCGACAGTATCCGCTCCCTCCGGAGCTGGATCCGGAGGGGCTCTTTTGCATTGGGCCATCGTGTAAACGAACATGGTGGCACGGCAATTCAGTTGACATGTCTCGGTCCTTGTCCAAAGATCTGGGGCCGTGTATGTACATTTCTTGTCTTCCTGGCATTTGAGGAACGATCCTGACTGGTCCTAGGGGTGGGCTTACCGGAATACGCGTCGTCAACTGTCCAGCGAGAGTTTGCTCATATTGCAGGGTCAGGAGCAGAGGTGCAGCGTGAACTCGATCATTTCGACGAATCCCAATCTGCAGATGAATATCAAAGCCTCCTGGAAAGAGTGAACATGATACTGCCGACATTGTCGCATGACGAACGCGTGCTAGATTTTTCTGAGCCCGTCCTATGGCATACCGACTTGCACTTGGGAAATATCTTTGTCTCGCCAAGCGAGCCTAGTACTATCGAAGGAATTATCGACTGGCAATCGGCCCAGTCCGCCCCCTTGTTCCTACAAGCTCGATTCCCGGATTTTCTTACGCCACCAAAGAATTACACGATTGGCCCTGACTTACCGGGCTTGCCTGATGGTTTCGAGGATCTAAGTCCCGAGCAGCAAGAGCAAGCCACCAACGAGAAAGACTTGGCATTGAGGTGTAAGTACTACGAGATGTCCTGCCTCGCGCATAACCAACACGTTCACGATGCTATGAGGCTGGATCGCAGACTGTGGGAGCCCTTCGTTTGCAGCCAGTTATCCTCCCATGGCAGTTTGGTCCCAATACGCGAATGTCTGATCCGTTTGTCCGAGGACTGGTCTGCATTGGGTCTCCAAGGGAATTGTCCCTTCCAGATCCCAGAAGATGAAAGGAAAAAGCACGATGAACAAAGGATGCAATATGAAGACAGTGTTTATCTGTGGGATCTTGTGACGAAGCATCTGCTGACCGATAGCTCCGGCTGGGTTCCGCATGACAGATGGGAGGCGACGAAAGAGGCAAATCGCGAGCTCTATACGATGTATAGCAAAATGATGAGCGAAGAGCTGGCGCCCGAAGCAGCCCGGAGGATATGGCCTTTCCCTCCAGAAGCCTGAAGTCAACTTGACCCACCGTAGGAACGTTGCAGGGGTTGCAGACCAAGAGTGATGGGTGATGGGTGCCCTGATCAAACGTAAGTACTGCTTTGGGAGACCTCGTAGCCTAGGCGCTGCCAAGAGCCCTAACCTAAGAGCGCTGGTTGATCACATTCCAGCACATACGACCACAGGGTGTGGAGAACAGGGCTTCCCGTCCGCTCAGCCGTACTTAAGCCACACGCCGGCTGGTTAGTAGTATGGTGGGTGACCACATGCGAATCCCAGCTGTTGTATGTTTTTTGTTTTTTGCTAGATTTAAGTGATTCCGGCCGAATCCTTGCGTTTTCAACAAGCTGGCGTCGTCGCGTTGCCTTTCTGTTTGCTGACTATAACCGGCTTTAAAAGAGGATTCCGAGCAGCTTCAAGTCAACGTCTATCTGATTACTATTCGTTGTGGCTATTCAGGGCTCGCTCAATCTTTGGCATTTGCGAGAACGCGGACTCGGCCCGAGCCCGGCACAGCTCGGCTTCGGCCCGCATCGGCTTCGGAGCTCCGACTCGGTCGGCCGGTAGACGTTCTTCGAATGTGGATCGTTTTGTACTTAGAGCGCCAGCAAACATTATGTTTGAAGGATCAACACGGGGAGGAAAATGGCTTACCCAGCCAGAGACATTGCTAGTTTTAACTCTTCCTGTAGTAGTAGTAGTAGTGATATTTAACGCCCCGGGGATTACTAGGCGTACGCCTAATGTTTTAGACCTCCCTTGGGGTATAGGGGCGTGCCACCGCTAGGTAATTAGCTTATTTAAATAGGTTTATATATAAAAAGGCTTTTTATTTTAAAGGGTAACTTTTACTAAAGCTTATAGGCTAGGTACCTGTTTTTTATTTATTATTTTAATATATAATTATTAGCAGGTATTATTTATTACGTGCCTAAAAGTTTTATGAGGCCCTTTGTATACCATACTGACTAGTAAAGCTATTAATTAAATACTATAAAAAAGAATAAAAAAAAAGCAAGTTATTTATTAAAAGCTAGAGCTACCTAGGGGTTTATATAAATATTTTAAGCTTTTAAAAACTTATTAATAGCCTAATTTTTTTACTAAAATAATAAGGTATTAAGCGCCTTACTTTTTTATACTAACATGGTATATAAAGGTATTAATAAATAAAAACTTTATTAAACTTTATCTTTAGCTAACACACCCCCTTAATACCTATTAAATACTAAAAATAAGGCTAGAGATGTTTACTAAACTAAGTATTTTAATAAATTTATAGTATTATTATTTAGTAAGTGGCTTAATAAGGCTATTTATAATTATTTAATTAATAAAAGTTTATTTAATTTTAAGGTTTTTATACTAAACTTTTTATTAAAGCTATAAGTTATAAATATTAATATACTAAAGTTTTAATTAATACTAGATATTAAGGCTAGTAAAAATATTAATAATTTATTTATTATTATATTAAACTAAAAAATAGTATTAAAAATTAAATTATATTAAATTAAAAACCTGGTGCTACTAGTAAGTTACTTTAAAAACCTTAAATAAAGTAAGTAATTTTATTTTAATTATTAAAGTTATAACTAAGTATTACTTTATAGCTTTTTATTTAATTAAATTATTATATAGCTTGCAAATATAGCCTGCGCTAAAAAAGTAATTAAATTAATTAATAAAGGCTGTATTAAAGTAAGCCTTATAAAAATTATATGCCTTTAAAATAAGCTTATTTTTAAAGCTATTTAAACCAGAGTATTTAAAAGCTATAAAGCATGTATTATAAAAATAAAAAATAAGTTAATTTATTATATATTAATAATAATTTGCTGGATTAACTAGGTGTTTTAATAATTAATTAATAATATAAAAAATATTTAAATAGGTAAGCATGCTTATATATTTAACTAAGCTAATTTTAAACCTTATTTTTTTAATTTATTAAGGTGTAGCAGTACCAGAGTTTAAATAAAGCTTGCTAAAAAAAAAAAGGTATTTTTAAAGGTTAAACTATTATATTTAAGTAAAATTAATTTATAATTACTTTAATATAAAAGTCTTAATATAACCAAACCTTGCGCTTTTTTTTATTTTAAATAATTTGAACTTTTAGGAACTATTTTACTTTACTAAAATATTAAAGCTTATACTTTACTACTAATTTTTTTAAAAGTAGCTATAGTAGCTTGGCCTTTTTTAATAAAAAAGTTTATAATAATAATATTATTTATATAAATAAGAAAAATTATAAACTTACTAATATAAAAGCACTTTTTTTTAAAAACTATAGTAAAGTTAAATTTTTATAGTATTATAGCTAAATTAAGCTATTAAAGGTATAAAAACTTTTAAAGTTTATAAATAACTTTAAGGGTTTTTAGTAACTTACCCCGCTACTTGTAGCTATTTAAAAAGTAAAAATATACTACCTTTTTAAGGGTAGCGTTAAAAAATATATTAATAGTATTTTTTTAATTAAAATTAAGGTTAAAAGTAGCTATAAATATTATAAAAGCTTTAAAGGCCCTTGCTAAGGCTATTATTACTTAATTTTTTTTAAAAAATTTTAGTTTTAAATCTCCGTGCATATAAATTCGGGCTTTAGCTTTAATAAAATAGTTATTAATATTAAGTTTATAAATAAAAACTTATAATAAAAAAATTAGCTTATTTATTCCTGCCTTTTATTTATTTACTACTTTTTATACTTTTATTTTATAAAAAGCTCCTAATTTAAGATTTATAGCCTTTAAAAACTTATTATAAAATAAATAATTTTTAAAATTACTTTAGCGCTTGGAAAAAAAAGGTAAATTATTTTAATAAAGCTATTTTTTTACAGGATTTTAATAAAAAGTAAAAAAAATAAATTAAATATAATTAAAATTATTTAAATTATTCAAGGAAGTATTATTTAAATTTAAATTATATATATAATTATTAGTATTATATTATTTATGCCTGCGCTTAAATATTTTAAAAAAAAAACTAAAGTTACTAAAGTTTTACCCCCTAAGCACGCTAAGCTTAAAAACTAAAAAAAAAAAAAAAAAGCTAGGCGTGCTTATTTATCTTTTTTAAGTAACTACTTACTAGCTAAATTAATAAAAAAATATTAAGGCGCTTGGGGGCATAAAATTTATTATTAAAAATTTTTTAAATAGGCCCTTGGAGCTATTTATAAGGCCAAGTTTTATATAAGCCTTTTATAATAATAAAATTTAAAAGTTACCTTAGGAATTAGTAAGTATAAAAACCCGCTTGGCTAATTAAAGGCCTTTTTTTTTACTAGGAGTATTTTTAATTTTGCTAGTAGTATTTTAAGTCTTATTTTTTACTTTATACTTATTACTACTATTAATATTTTTTTTTAAGATTTTTACCACCCGTGGCCCATTTTTATTTAAAATACCCTTATTTTTTTTATTTAAAAAATTTACTAAAGTTAAGATTTAGGTTAATCTCCTTAGTTTTATAATTTTAAAAAAAAATATTAAAAACTTGGGCTAGAGGCTCTAGTAACTTAATTTTAATATTAATAATAAAAAAAAATCCTTTAAATTATATAATCTAAATTTATTAAAAATAACATTTTTGCAGGCACGAACAAGCTATTTTTTAAAAAACTAGATTTATTAAATATTTAAGGTAATATAACCTAGTAAGTATCCTAATAAAGCCTTTAATTTTATTTTATAAAAACTTTTTACCTAAAATTATCTTGCCCAGGCAAAACAGCCTAGTATTTTAATATTAAAAATATAAGGTTTTTTACTAATAAGTACTTTCTATGGTGTTTTTTAATTTAGTAGCTTAATAAAAATTTAATTATTAATATAAGCTACGGCCTTTATAACCCAGGGCCATATATTAAAAGAAATTTTTTTATAAAAAGTTATTATTTTTACTTTTTTAATTAGTATACCACCAAAGCGCTTAGCCATACTATTTTAAAAAAAAGTATAAAAAGTAAACTAGTTTTAAAGTATACCTTAAAATATAGCAAAGTTAAAAATATTATTATTAAGTATAGGCTTATAATTATTAAAAAAAACCTTAGGAGTAATATTAAACTAGGTTTAAATAAGCTTAGTATATTATTTAATAATATTTTTATACCTACTTTTTTCCTGGTAAATATAGGCCTAGTAAAACTTAGTATTTTTATTATAAAAATAAGTTACCCACTTTTCTTTATTTATTACTTTTTTTATAAAAATTAGGTTAAAGTAAACTTAATTAAATAGTGTAATAATAGGATCTTTAGGCCTTTTAAATATTTATTAAAGGGCCTATTTATATCTACAAGTATTATATTACTAAGGTAATTAAAAACTAGTAATTTAAACTTTTTTAATTATAATTAATAAGTATTAAAGTGCCTTATTACTAATATAGCCTAGGCGCTGGTAAAAAGCTTTAAAATTTTTTTTAATATAAATCTTTTAAATTAAGGTCTTAACTTTTTATTAAGTTAAAGTGTTAGCCTCCTCTTGCTTTAAGTTTTTTTTAAACTTAATTATTTAAAGGCTAAATAAGTAATTTTTAAGACAGAATACTAGTTTATTATTTTTAATAATTAAAGTATTAAAATCCCAAAAATATCCAGCCTTTTTAAAAGGCCTAGCTACTAAAATATTAATATAAAAGCTAGGTATAAAGGCTACTTTACTAAAAGTAAAAGGTATTATTTTATTATCCAAAGCCTTAAAATAAAGAAGTACTAATTTTATGCCTTAAATAATAATAATTATATTTTTTACTTAAATATTACCTTTTTTTAATTAATTAAAAAAGGTAAAATAGCTAAAATTATTATAAATATAAATAAAAGTACTGGTATTAAAAATAAAGGCATTTTAAAGTATTAAATTACTTTAAATACTTATAATAAACGCGTAACTATAATATTTTTTTTTACCATGGCCTAAGTAGCTAAAAAAGCTTTTTAAGCTTTTTTTTTTAACTTTTTTTTATTTTTAAAAATTTATTTATTCTTGGCC